GCGATGTAGCGGTGTTGACGTTGAGGTCTGAGCGGAGCCGCTGATGCTAACGGGAACAGAAAGGTGAACACAGAATGTGTGGAAACAAACACACAGCAGCTCGTGCTCAACAACACGGCCCGCAGCCAGCAGGCCTCTGAACATCTGTCATACCTGCCTGCTTCAATCCCGTCACACACACACAGACGTGCACACAGACGTGCACACAGCCCGTGAACGGTTGTGACAGCTCGACACCGCGCCACGAGCCCGGAAACACATGTTCCTTTCTACTAAGCTTCACATGCAAACACAAATGACCAGCACCTCTGTTCTGTTTCACCTCACATTAACAACACCTCCGTGACTCACTCACTCACCAACGACAGCAGCTTTATTGTTCCACGTCTTCCAGGTGCTCGTTTTACTTTGACCCATCAGACATCTCATTTCACTTTGCTTACGTTTCACCACTTAAAACATGAAAGTGAAGAAGGCAAGAACAGAAAAAAGAAGAAGAAAAAGATAATTACCAGACTAGAAAAAGAGAAAACGGCAGACGACAGGTGTGAGAGAAAAGAATGTGAGAACAGGTGTTGAAACAAGCTCAATGAAGGTGAGAAGCACGGTCAAAAGAGGAAAAAAAGATGGAAATTAAAAACAAGAGCGCAGGGAGAACATTTTGAAAAGACACACAGAAAAAAGGAAAAGTGTAAATGTGAAGTGTCTGGCGACCGTAAAGCGATGAGTGGTGATGGCAGCCAACTGCTGCGTTAAGTAGAGCCCTACCAACCTCCACATAAAGCTGGCGTCGGAGCGTCAGAGACCTGATGGGCTGTCACTTAATCAAATGAAAAGTCACTTGTTGTGTCCTTACACCCCCACTGGGACACTCATTATCGGCCATGATTGCCCCCAACTAACCTTCGACAAATTCTCCTCCTCCTCCTTCTCCAGCAGAGCACTCCAGCTCTCCTTCATCTCCGGGGCACCGTCTTAGCATCCCAATTATCATCATCTTTGATTTGTGCTGCCATACCCCAGAGGAAATAAGGACTTTTCTTCTTTTTCCTCGTTGTTTTTTTTTTTTTTTGTTCTCGCCTGTCAGGCTCAAGCAGACTTCAAATTTACCCCATTTACCCTAAAACCAGGCTTTTAAATCTTTCTTTTAAACAGACTGGACCTTGGTTTGGATGCATTTTGGACGTACTAAGTATTCCTGAACTTGCGCAACTACCCATAGTGACAGTGACATCCTTCAGTGACAGACTGCTGCATCCTAAACGCACAAAGGAGCATTACCGCAGATCCTTCCTCCCATCAGCTGTTAGACTCTATAACTATCACTGCTCCCAACAAACGTGATAAGCATCCATGTTTGTGTTTGCACATCAAACAACTCTACCTCTCAATCATTACAGTGGTTTGCAAAAGTATTCATACCCCTTGAACTTTTCCATATTTTGTCACATTACAACCACAAACATAAATATATTTCACTGGAATTTAATGTGAAAGACCAACACAAAGTGGTATACAATTGTGAAGTGGAAGCAAAATTTTACATGAATCAAAACATTTTTTACAAATAAAAAACTGAAAAGTGCGATGTGCAAAATTATTCAGCCCCCCCTGAGTCAATACTTTGTGGAGCCACCTTTTGCTGCAATTACAGCTGCAAGTCTTTTAGGGTATGTCTCCACCAGCTTTGCACATCTAGTGACTGCAATTCTTGCCCATTCCTCCTTGCAAAACAGCTCAAGCTCAGTCAGATTGGATGGAGAGCGTTTGTGAACAGCAGTTTTGAGATCTTGCCACAAATTCTCAATTGGGTTTAGGTCTGGACTTTGACTGGGCCATTCTAACACATGAATATTCTTTTTTTTAAACCACTCCATTGTAGCTTTGGCTTTATGTTTAGGGTCGTTGTCCTGCTGGAAGGTGAACCTCCGCCCCAGTCTCAAATCTTTTGCTGACTCCAACAGGTTTTCTTCCAAGATTGCCCTGTATTTGGCTCCATCCATCTTCCCATCAACTTTGACCAACTTCCCGGTCCCTGCTGAAGAGAAGCACCCCCAGAGCATGACGCTGCCACCACCATATTTGACAGTGGGGATGGTGTTTTCAGAGTGATGTGCAGTGTTCTTTCTCCGCCACACATAGCGTTTTGCATTGTGGCCAAAAAGTTCAATTTTGGTCTCGTCTGACCAAAGCACCTTCTTCCACATGTTTGCTGTGTCCTCAACATGGCTTCTGGCAAACTGCAAACGGGACTTCTTATGGTTTTCTTTTAACAATGGCTTTCTCCTTGCCACTCTTCCATAAAGACCACATTTGTGTAGTGCACGCCTAATTGTTGTCCTGTGGACAGTTTCCCCCACCTGAGCTGTGGCTCTCTGCATTTCATCCAGAGTCACCATGGGCCTCTTGGCTGCCTCTCTGATCAGTGATCTCCTTGTTCGGCCTGTAAGTTTAGGTGGACGGCCTTGTCTTGGCAGGTTTACTGTGGTGCCATACTCTTTCCATTTCCGGATGATGGATTGAACAGTGCTCCGTGAGATGTTCAAAGCTTGGGAAATCTTTTTATAACCTAAGCCTGCTTTAAACTTCTCCAAAACCATATTCCTAACCTGTCTGGTGTGTTCTTTGGACTTCATGATGCTGTTTGCTCCCCAATATTCTCTTAACCAACATCTGAGGCCGTCACGGAGCAGCTGTATTTGTACTGAGATTAGATTACACACAGGTGGACCCTTTTGAGTCATTAGCAGTCATCAGGCAACTTCTGAATGCAATTGGTTGCACTCAGGGAAAAGGGGGCTGAATACTTTTGCACGTCGCACTTTTCAGTTTTTTATTTGTAAAAAATGTTTTGATTCATGTAAAATTTTGCTTCCACTTCACAATTGTATACCACTTTGTGTTGGTCTTTCACATTAAATTCCAGTGAAATATATTTATGTTTGTGGTTGTAATGTGACAAAATATGGAAAAGTTCAAGGGGTATGAATACTTTTGCAAACCACTGTACATAGACAATAACCAGTGGCAACTGTACATCATTTTTCCTGACCTGTAACACTAACTTAATGACTGAGTTTGAATCAATTTGCACACCCCCTCGGATCATGAGTCTGCCATGACTGGTTTTTCCTGTAATTTCATATTTTTCTGCACAGCATCTTGCTTTTATTCTAATTTTTTTCTGATTTTATCTTGATATTTCAGTACAGTAATTATTATTTTTATTTTGATCTTTATTTTCTTATTGTTACTATCTTTAATTCTATTATTATTGCTACAGTTGATAATGTCACATAGCAATATACGGTTTCCGTGGATTGAAGCATGTATCTGCTACTACACCTGAATTTCCCCACACGGGATAATAAAGGCTGTTTCTATTCTATTCTATTCTATTCTATTCTATTCTATTCTATTCTATTCTATTCTATTCTATTCTATTCTATTCTATTCTATTCTACATACAGTAGCAGAGGCTGGTTTTATATTTCCGCTTGTGCTGTTGTTTACAGTTACAGGGATACACCGTCACTGTTTATCAAAGTATTTTTCTCTGAAGTCTGGCGTAAATGGCGACACAGGGAGGTGTATATACTGTAAGGATGTTTTAAAAAGTGGCGAGGACAATTCTTTATTAGTGGCTCAGCCGTCACTGCTCACGGACTGATAGCACAAAGCTATGTCCCGATGTTAGCTAATAGCTACTACTGACATCAACTATCTCATCTTTCCCGAAGACACACACGCAAAATCATAAATGTCAACAGTTCTGGAAGTAAAATGTTCCTAAGCCCCTCATAATTGTAATAATTTTATAAAAGTATTGGGTGCTGGTTCGCTAGTAACTTCTAGAGATGAACTGGAGGGTTTCATACAGCTGCAGTCATTTTAAATAAATGATAAAAATAAATAAACTGTCACTAATAACTCCGTTAGCATATTTATTTTATTAAAACAAACCGGAGACTTTTAAAGCCCCCGGGGGCTAAGCTCCTCGTCTTTTAATCCTGCCATTTAGACAAACTATTTTAGCTTGAAGATGATTGTTTAATGTTACCAGCTTATTCAGAATTAGACAGTTAAATTAAGCCATATATTCCAGCATGTGGCTGCACAGCCGGTTCGGATGTTATCAGTCCATTAAATGGGCGTTATCAGCGGTTCTCAGTCCCATAGAATGGCTTCAGACTGTTTACCTACTAATACCTTGAAAGGCAACAATCTGACAGACTCCGGTCTACTTTAACCTAGCCCAGGTCATTTTCTCTAAAATGAACCTTTATGCCTCATATTAACCAGCTGACAGTCTGAAGCCATTCTATGGGACTGAGAACCGCTGATAATGTCCATTTAATGGACTGATAACATCTGAAGCGGGTGAGCTGCTATTAATATTTCTTTAAAACTGAGATGTAGCTGCTAATAAAATGCTAACAATCAGGCTAACACTACAGCTAGTGCTAATGCTAACACCACCGTAGGCTTTAATTTAGTAAAAGCACAATGAACTAGTGAAACAGGGACCAACTACATTTACAGTTCTCTCACCAGGCACAGATTCAGGGTTTTAGCTGATATTACTGGTCTGACTCACGGTGGTCCTGATGAGCCACCTTTGGTGGCCAGTCCTGTTCCAGGCTAAATGTTTCTAAAGCATTCCTGTTTTCTTCATTTGTTGTGGCAGCCGACAAAAACACAAGTTGAGCCCAAACTTGTGATTGAACTGATCAAGCTGCCAGTTAAAGCAAAAACAAACTGGTTTTGTTATCATAACTCTGAATGAATGAATTGCTTGTTCTCTCTTTGCGTACTGGAAATATGAAGCCGGGGGGCGGGACTAGTGGTCTGTCATGGCAGCCTACATACGCTTCTACAGAAACCTGTGGATAAAAACTGTTTCCAGGTAGATCGGGTCTGGATTAGTGCTGAACTGAGATGTTTCTACAAACCAAACCGAGCATCAAGCACAGCATCATCAGAAGCTGAAGGTGACTCACCTGCACACTTGGTCTTGGTGATGAGGGGCGGTCCCGGCGGTCCCGTTCCCCCTTCCCCGGGTCTGGACAGCAGGACCTTGATCTCGTACTCCACGTCGGGGTCCAGGTGCCAGAGCTTGTAGGTGGGGGCGTCGACCACGTGGGTCTCGGCCCAGTTTCCTGTGGTGGTGCGGTACTCCACCTCCTTCAGGATGATGGGCCCGTCGCCGATGATGCTGTTGGCGTTGGGTTTGATCCACAGGTAGGTGGCGCCGACGGCCAGGAGTTCAGGCGGAGCGATGGGAGTGGGCGGAGCTGTGAAACAGCACATCAAAGGAAGATAATCTTTTAATTTGTGTTTGAACAGCAGATTTATTTTCCCACAGGCTGAATAAAACATGCGGCTGATTAAACCGTTCAAAAGCAAACATCATTTTGTTGTGACTGAAACTCACCTCCAGCTGAGCCTCACCGAATTATTTTCCTCCTGAAAACTATATTTAAGCTCAATCAATGGAGCTGAAGTGAGCAATACTTGAACAAATGAATGAATCTCACACAGCCCTCTCTTCCTGCCACTGCTGCCTCTTAACATAATTTAAAAAAACACAATTCAAATGATTATTCTCAATATGCTCTCAGTTCTTAATTTATTTATTCAATTAAAACGGAAAATTCAAGTGAATTGTTTCACTTTAACCAACAATAGTAGCACAGTATTTTCTTAAATGACCAATATCCAGTTTTATTTTGAGTCACATAATGAAGTGTGACGGTGTGTTTTGGTTTAATAACTTCAGGATAAGTGAAATAAGAATTACAGCTTGTTTCTCTTCAAAGAAACCAGGATATGAGTTAAAACAACATTTAATTTCTCTTTGGGATTGATAAAAGAATTGAACTGAACTGAATTGAACTGAATTGAATTGAACCAATCAACATCAAAACCTTCACATTTAGCCCCGATCTTTTAGTTTAGTTTCAAATTTATTCATTTAAAAATAAAATAAATTCTATATATAAAAATATACAAATCAAATAAAATGAGACACAGCAGAAAGAAGAAAAAAATAAATTCAAACAATAATAATCTACAAATAACAAAAACAATCTGTTGATATCTGCTGTGGCCAGGAGGCAATTAGAGTCTTAGTTGTGACTGCATTTGTTTGTCAGCAAAAGTACTGGATACATTAAGGAAACTCTGTCACATCTTTAACTGATCGTTTGGAGTTAATTAGAATAAAGATGGCTGCCACAGATAATTACCTTCAGACATAAAAAGTGTCTCACTCAGTCAATGTAAAGATTCTGTATTAATGTGTGGTAGTAGCTGAGAGTCATCCCTAATGCACACTTTTTGAAATAAAGTTGTAAAAATAGATCTAATTATTTCAGTTTTTTTGGGTGTAACAAAACATCGATACATTGAAATATCACGATATTTCATGTTGATACTGTATCGATGTTTAAGACTTAATAAATGTTTGGTGTTCTTCTGATTGAATAAAAATAAACTGAACTGATCAGATTTTATGCATTTATTGCATGGTGTGCTCTTAGAATCTTATGGAGAAAAAAAGGCAATATATCGCCTCGCTTACAGTATCACAATACGTTACGATGTATCATATAGGGTGGTACGATATATCGGCATTAACATCTGTATCGGCCCGATAAGTAAAACTGGGCTGATTTTAATGTCTGATACTGATTTCCCACTTGTTGCTGTTTGTGTTTCTGTTTCAGGAGGGGAGATGTTTGGTCGAGCGGTATCTGTTTGATCATGATAGTGATAGTAGCTGCGTTTCCGTTGACCATGAAAATGCGCAAATAAGAATTTCGAAAATAAATTTGCTCAATGGAAACACGTCAATTTCGAAAAAATTACGTTTGACAAAATGTTTTTGCACTTGGGTGAGGTGGTTTTTCGGCCGCATCGAAATTGGTGTTTTTCGCAAAACTGCAATGGAAACACTTTTTTCACATCACAGGAGTCACGTGATCAACAACCGGCTGTTTCTACTGGTGAAAAAGACGATGATGAAGAAGATAACAGGAAGTAGAAGTAGTAGTAATATCACAGAAGTAGTATAAAATAGTAAACTCATCGACTACAATTTCCCAAAAACACAGCATACGTAGCCGCTCCCAAGTAGGGACTTGTCTCTGGAAAGCCTCGATAAAAGACGCCGACGTCTCCTCTGATGATGAGCGCTAGTGTCGTGGTAGCAACATGCTATGTGTTTACATCCATCGCTGCCATGTTTGTAATGACTTATCACGAGAACAAACGTATTCACGCGTGACTTTAATAACATTTCTTACTTTATGGAAACACTGCAGTTGTGAAACTGTGTTTTTTCAACATTAACAGAATATCGACAAAGTTTTGCGCACATTTGTAATGGAAACGCAGCTAGTGAAGTACAGAGCCTTGTTAGCAGTCTAATGGTTTTTATGGTATCGAATAATGACACAAGTGTGTTTGTGCGTATATGTATATAAATAATTTGTGTGTTTGTGTAATATTGGCAACTATTGGTTATCAGCCATAACAGCAGTAATTATATTGGATAACAATATGGTATCAATTTGAAATTTTAATAATGATGCATCCCTAATATTTTATCATGACCCCCGTATCAGGATATGTAGATCACCAAGTTCCTGCCAACACACAGCTCCATTTATTTCATAGTTCAGACTTTAAAGCTTAAATACAAAAACAGTGTTCATAAAATAAAAAAGTCTCATTAAAAGATCCACAGCAGAAAGCCTCAAACAGCTGATTCTTCACGGCTCATAAAGACTGAATAAAGGTGGTAATTAATACGTTTATAGAGAAAATCTGGTGATAGTAGCTCGTTTTCAGGATTCATTGAGTGTTTCTTTTTCTAAATGTAGCAAACGGTGAATGGAAGACTTCACGATGCACATGAAGCTGCTTCTTTACACACAGAGAAAATAAAACCATCAGCTGATACAGATGCAGTGAGCGCAGCTTCCTACAAACCAAGCAGGAACTTTTTACCTCCAACAAACAAGCGGAGCTGCCGCGACGCCGTGACATCAATCTGAAAGCGGCCCAGCTAAAGAGCAGCAGGAGCAGATGGAAACAATGACAGGCAAATTAATTGGACTTTTCCCGCTCGTCAGCAGACGGCCTGCGCCTGCGAGGACTCCGCTCATCAGCACGAGCTCCACTAATTACCACGGACAGCTCCGGCTCCTGCCACGGCCTCGGGTTCAGCACCTCGGACCGACACCAGGACTCACGATCTACCTCAGATCGACTGAAAACACTCAGAAACACCCAGGTTGATAACCGTGCTCGGATCTGGTCTGGTTGTTTGCAGCAGAGCGGAGCTGCAGATGAAAGAAGAGATCAGTAAAGATGATCTGATTTACGACCAAATGTTTATCGTTCATCTCAAACTGGAGGAAGTCAGAGCTGTTTTAAGGCTGAGGTTTGTCTCTCTGACAGGCGCTGTGTCTGATGACAGCTACATAACTCCTGCCGAGAATGTGTTTCTCTCTCCTGTCGTCGCCTTAAAAACACAAAACCAGCTCCAACACAATCAGTTTCACAGATGCAGAGCTAGAAATCAGTGGTTGGAGCCAGGGTTATTATAGTTAACTAAAACTAAGTAACAAAAACTGAAAGTGAAAAAACTTTTTAGTTAACTAAAATAAATAAAAATTGTAATAAAATGAAAGAAATGACAAATAAAACTATATTTTTTTATGATTTTATGATTTGAATGACTTTATTTGGTCACATTAAAGAACACTCCACACAAAAACAAACAAAACTTTAACCCTATATGACCAAATAGTTAGAGGCCGAAGCCAATGGCTTGTTTTGCCTCACCTTACACTTCATAATGGATTCCCCAAAACAAAATACACAAAAAAAACACACATATACTTCAACTACATCCTGGTTATATACATATCATTAATACAGTTTTTTTTATCAACAATATCATTATTATTGTCCGTACATGCAAAACAAATATGTAATATATTTCCACCACCGTCATCACAACTGACTACTATAAACCATAACTCGTAATTAATTTACTTTTTTACTTCTTTTTAAAACTTAAAAGAGAGTCACTAAACTTAATTTCATCATTTAAATATTCAACAATTTAACACCCATTACAGAAATACATCTGTATTTGGTATTTGTTCTTACTTTAGGTTCTTCAAAAATAAAGAACCACCTTAAATTATAATTATTTTCCCGTAACTTAAAAAATCTTTGAAAACCATCAGGAAGACTGTTTATTCTTACTCGATATAGTAACTCCAGTGTTTTTAAATACACTCATGGAAGCTCTGTGTCCGGGTCTCTGCCCTGTTCCGAGGGAGTTCCGCAGGGTAGCATACTGGGCCCATTGCTTTTCCTATTATACATAAATGACCTTCCAAAAATATTGAAGTATTCAAATATTTTAATGTATGCTGATGATACTGTTCTTTTTCTTTGTCTGATTTCAATACTGAATCTATTAATAGTCAGTTACAAGCAGATCTTCAGACATTTCATGGTTGGCTTCAAGATAATCTTTTGTCAGTTAATGTTAAAAAAAACTGCGTGCATGTATTTTTCCTCACCCAGGCGACATTTCAATATAACAAATCAACTCACTTTTTTAAACAAACCCCTTGATATTGTCACTACATACAAATATCTTGGAATTACTTTGGATTCTCATTTGACTTATCGTGATCATGTACAAGTCTTAACCACTAAGTTGAAACAGAAATTATATGTTTATTCAAAAATTAGATCCAATCTGACATCTTCTGTTTCAAATATCTATCTTCATGCCATTATACTCTCAACCATGTCGTACTGTTTACCTGTTTGGTCTCTTACAACAAATGAAATCTTAGAACCCATAGTTAGGCTCTACAACAGGGCCTACAAAATTCATAAAAAACTTCCTGGTTACTCATCACTGTACAGTTCTTTCATTGTCTGATGCCTTGACTTTTCAGAATTATGTTTTGTATAGTGGTATTAATTTATATTTTCAGATCTTCCAAGGTGCCAATTATGGAACTCTCTGTGCATTGTTGCCCAAATCAAATTCTGGAAGTGGTCATTCAACTAGATCTGTTAAAAAAGGACAACTGATATTACCAACTTTTAAAAACTGTTACGGCCAGAGGTCTTTCTTCTATGTTTATACTAAAGCATGGAATGACATTCCTCAAAACATAAAGTCCATTTCAAAACYACAGCCCTTTAAGAAGAATCTTGTCTGCCATCTGCTGGACACTTTTTGTTGTGCTCATTT